ATAAACTTCTAATTTCTATAAGTGATCTATGATTGGTTATAGTTATATGCACAAACGTTACACAATTATGCAAGGGTTGTCCCTTCAGTGTTTTTAAATTATAGATAATAAATTTTAGTTTTACTTTTATTTTTATATAATAAATTCTTTTTTTGTATAATTATATAAATACAAAATAAAGATTAATATTTAAAGAATAAGATATATAAATAAAATTATGTTTAAACAAAAATATTATATATATTCTTAAAATAATATACTTTATATTATTTTAAAAATTATTGTTCATAATGCAAATTATTAACTCTTTTTAATAATTATTTGTATAAAACTTTTTATAATAAAAAACTAATTATTATTTGATATTTTATTAAGTAAACTACTTTTGAGTATTTAAATAAAGCTTAATTTTATATTTAAGTATTCAGATTAATATTTATAAATTTTTTATTCATAAAAAAATATCTATTAAATACCAAAACTCTTCTAATTAATTTATCAAATTTACTAAGTAAACTGCTCTTGCTTATTAGAATAAATAAAAAAAACTCAATTATAACATTATTTTGATATATTATTTATTAAAAACTGTCAAAATTGACTAATTTATTAACAAAATATTCTTAAACTCTCCTAAAATTCTGTTTTTTTATTTATTTATTTATTTATTCTTTTAAGGCTTCATTCTATTTAATACATCATGTAACCAAACTGTTATTATCACATGATTGCACTGTTTCTAAGACCATTTGAAATTGATTCTTCAGTTAACATCTCTATTCTTAGCTGAAGGCTCTCTCTGAGAAATGAACAACCAACCAATACATTGGATAACTCTCACCAATCTCTTGATTTACATTGACCAATTAAATTGAACATATTTGTCATTCTATATGTTCATTTAATTTTATACTTCCTTTTCCCAAGAGTTCTAAAAGTGATGTTAACCAAAAATTCAATTGCAAACGGCCTGAGCGTTGCCTATAGATTTCCATAATGCGAAATATCATGTGATCGATACATGTCTGCTGACTCTCTAGGATTTTTATGTATGTATGGAAAAAATTTTAAAAATCGTATTTTAGTTGCTTCTAAATTCTTTTTGATATTGTCTTATAGTTTTTTTATTATTATATTTTATTTCTGTAAAATTTTTGTGAAGCCACATACGTATAATAATTAAGATCTCCAACATTGCCAATAAAATTTTTCTCATCACGTGATATACAAAATTTCTTTAAGTTCGGGTCAATGTTAGGGTTAGAATTTAGGAAAACTTTTGTTAATGCGTAGAAGGAATTTTGAATTTTCCTGATCGCGTAACGTTACACCAAATTGTGATTCGTTATTGGCTTATTTTCGTAGATCATCACGTGGTGGTAAAAATTACATAGTGATTTTGTTGCAGTCCTAGTGGCACAGTACGTACTAAACGTAATGTACTTTACGTACTAAAATTTTCGCCGATCACTTTTATATGAATTATGCCAACCAATCAAATCACTAGAAACAACTATACGTACAGTACGTACTGTACGCTAAAAAAATCAAAAAAAAACATGAAAATGCATATCACTAGGCAGTCAGCAGTTAAAGGGTATAAAATATGACGGGCATTTTACTATAACTTTCATATAGTGATGGAATGCTAAGCATATCTGAGAAAAATCCAATAAAAAAGAAAAAAAATCTAAAGATCTTGTGATTTGCACAACCGATTTTAATGATTTTATTATCATTAGAATCGCAATAACACGTTCTACAACTTTAATCAAGATGTTTACTTAGTAATGAATCGGAATTTCACTACTATGAAAAGTTATAATAAGTTCCGACTATGATACTTAGTAATGATTATACTCTTTAACTGCGAACACCCCATAAATTCTTTATGAGTATATTATTATATATATAATATATATATTATAAGTATAGTGTACAAATTTTATACGTATTCTAAATTGCGATTTTTGTATACTCGTGGCATTACCATATTACGGTGGCATATACGATAATATTTATGGAAATCTGATACTCTACGCCGTAATTAACTCTATTATTGGTAAATGCCACAATGCCGTAATTCTACGTACCACCAACTATAGAAAGAGCTCAAAATCTCATAAACATCTAATCAATTAAAGAAAATCATATAAAAATACTTGTTTTCTTTTGTAGGCATTTATGTTCGCCAAAAAAGACTAAAATGTTTATATGAGTAACAGAAATTTGAAAATTCTTTTTATAGTGTTAATAATGAAAACTACAAAAATCAAATCAAACAAGAAAATCGGGTGTCAAGAAAGATGGGCAAAAAATGCGCATTATGTACAGATAATCATACTTAGTATTATGAGCATGAAATTCACACGACATTGGATAATGATTAAATGCACAAAACTACATTAATGATCTACATGCTGCATAAATTGTACAGTGTATTCTTGATATCTATATAACCCGCTAACCCTAAATGAATCAAAAAAGTAACCCTAACTGGTACTTGGCTTTAACATTCACCCTTTTTTAGTTGAAATTATCGATACCATTCTCATTATAGTTGAATTAATATTATTAATAATAGATAATCTATTTAATAATTTGATTGTCGATAATTAACATTTTTCTCTTTTTAGAGAAACAAAAAATCAGCCGAGAAATGTAAATTGGTGCAATTCTGCAAAAGTTGTTGTTCCATGCCTAATAAATTATATGTACGTATAATAAATATAAACCTTTCCTTCATTGCAAAAAAATCCATAATAATATAGATAAATGAATATTGGTTTGGTGATTTTCAATCAATTCTGTAAATGTAAAGTGGTGCAGCTCTTAATCCTGTTGTTAGTTTCTTTGTGCATAAATCTTTTGTTGTAGATAAAAAAATAAATCAGCGGTGTTACATATGTTCTTGCATAATTTCTTCTTAGAATTAACGTTAATTCTTTTTCGATAACCTTTTAAGCGTCATTTTTTCCGGCTAAAATCGCTCTTTATCTATAAAAAAATAAATATGCATATAGATAAATTAGCATTTATATGTATGAGTGCGTGAGTGTGTGAATGTGAAAACCCGGAAATAAAATTTAGCCCTTAAAAAATCAATGATCGCCGTATACAATAGGGGTTCATCAATTTTTAAACAAGTTTAATGTTGTTAATGCAGTAATGTTTTAAATAAAATCTCTCAATCTCACAGAGTGAAATTTTTTTTCGATATTATTAGTTTGTTGGAGAAACAAAAAAAATGGCCGAAATTGTAAAATAGTGTAATCTAGTTTCTTTTTAAAATTAAGCGCCTAAATATCAGGTTATCGAAAAAAATATATATAGATAAATTAGATCTGTATATTTAGCGACTTCATCCTGTTTGATGTCTCACAATAAGAACTCATTGATAAAAAAATCTCTTTTTTGGTATTTAGAATGATTTTTTGGCTTGCGTATGCACGTAAAGAATCCAAACCTTTAAAAATTTCAAATATTTCAAAATCATATAAAAATGTTAAAAAATTTCTCAAATCTTCAATTTCATTACCGGATCAACGATCAATATGTCGGCTTATCAGGAAACACTCCAAAAAATCTTCAGACCTACAAAATGTACTGCTGCTTCAACATTCACTGTGGTATAATATCTTGTCATACTTTTTTTATTATAAATTTCTTATGTAAAAAAAGATTTTTTTAATAGTTTTTATGTAACCATTTTGAACTAGTTCAACACAGATGATTTAACTGAAGCCGCTAAACTCACAAAAGTTTATTATGACAAAGCCAATAGTAGCTCATTGCAAGCAGCACTTGACCAAGCTGTCGAAGATTGTAAAACCAAGGATGTGGAATTGGTTCATTACTCTATAATGACTTTTATTTCTCATTATCCTGAAGCTAGAAAACAAGGACTTCGAGTTCCATCTTTGGCCGCTCGTCATCCAAACCTTTTTGCTCAATGTGGAACAGCTACAGGTGATGAAAAACTTCTTGATTATTGGCGTGAAGATCCAAATATGAATGAACATCATGAACATTGGCATATTTTATACGCAAATGTTCCAATGCCTAATCCTGATCCAACCAAATCCAATGAGACTTATATGAAAGATCGATTCGGTGAACTTTTTGTTTATATGCATAGACAAATGAATGCTAGGTTATTTTTATTTCTCATGAATAGGTGCACCTTTAGTTGCGATTTTATTAAATTACTTATAATAACTATTATTAAAATAATTTAGATATATTGCTGAACGTCTTAGTGTTGGTTTAAATGTTACAAAACCTTTGGAAGATTTTAATGAAGTTATTCCAGAGGGTTATACTCCTTCAAAACACTTAAAAACTCAAACTACAGACGGTAGTGCTGGTAAAGATTATGCCGCTCGTCCTGTTGGTAAAACAATGAGTATGGGTGATAATAGTGAGTATTTTTTTATGTAATCATTTGCCATTTTTCAATTTTATATATTTTTCAATCTAAAAAATTTATCAAATATTTAATATTTTACTTATTTATCTTTAGCATCTCCGGGTAGTGATTTTACGGTAGCTAAAGTGACAAAAGTCCGTGAACTTATTAAAAAATCTATTGAAACCGCATCACCACATAGTAGCGGTTACTTTTTGGACGAAAATGGTAAACAAATTGAACCAATTGTTGCTGATAAGCTGGGTCTTGCAATTGAATCTGGTCTTAAGGGCAAATTCGACAACCTTAGCATGTATACTCCTTTTCATACTTCTGGGCATGTTATATTAGGGAGTCTCAAAGATCCAGGCGGTAAGTATAAAAATATTATTATTAATTATTATAATTATAAATTCTAATTTTTTTTGCTCATTTAAACTATTTTAGCTACTAGCAATGGTGTAATGGGTGACGTTCGTGTTGCGTGTCGAGATCCGATTTTCTGGAGATGGCATAGACATGTCGATCAAATATATAAACGTTATCAAGAAAAACTAGGTCCAAATAAGTTTGATGACTGCCCACCCGTAAAGATTTCATCTGCAGATATTTCTCTCGCTTTCAAAGAAGATATAGGAAAAGATATAAAAGAACTCAAACAATTAGTGGACCCTACGCAAGATGAAACTGTAATGAAATGGGGTCAAACCAATTTTGGTGCTCATTCTACCACTGAATTACATACTAAGATGGCAAAAAGAATGTTTACTTATGCTGAAGATGATCAATCTTCACAAGAAATTCAATTCATTTTTCCAAAAGAATGGTATGATTTATTATGTCCTTGATTTTTCTTTTAATTTATTTGCTTCATTAATTTCTTTCTCGATGGATAAACTCAGGTATTATTTCTTCCGTGTTGAGAACACTTCTAATCAGGTAATTATTATATTTTCTCATTAAATAGCCAATTTAATTCTATTTAATTCTATATAATTCTTTATAATTTGTAATTTCTTATATTTATTGTCCACTAGAACATCACTGTTACTTTCCGTGTCTTCATTGCTCCTGAACAACGATGTAATGAATTTAACGATTGGATTGAAATGGATAAATTCAAACAAGCTCTCCCCGCAAAATCCAAGATCGTTGTAGCACGTGATTGTGATCGTTCATCAGTAGTGAGACAACCTCCACAAAAAACTATTAATACATTAGATGACACAGATATAGCTCGTCAAGACGCTAGCAAATACAATAAAAGAGCTCAAGAAGTTTCTGCAGACAGGCTAGATGAGAATTACTGTGATTGCGGTTGGCCGTTCCCTCTACTATTACCTCGCGGTACACGTGAAGGAATGAAGTTTAAATTATTTGTATTTATTAGTAACTGGGAATTAGATAAAATTCCTGAGCAGGATACTAGATGTGGTAGTTTGAGTTTTTGTGGTGCAAGAAATCTAAAGGATAAATATCCTGATCTTCGTCCAATGGGTTATCCATTTGATCGACCTTTCAAGGACGGTTCTTTCGAGAAGGTATTTATTTTATCATATTTATTTTATTTATTTATTTATTTATTGTTTTTTTCTGCTTATTTTGAACACGATTTTTTAACCAACTTTCAGACATTTGCCGGAATGAACAATGCCGCTTCAAAAGACATTACCATTAAATGGGTTAATGGCTTTAATAATTGGAAACAAGATTGAAAATGATTTATTATTCTTTTTGAATAATTTAAATTTTCGATTAGTCCTAAAGAATTTTTTTACCAAAAATCATATTGTACTTGAAAATGGTTGAATTTAAATATTTACTTAGTTATGTTTATATTTGATTTAATAAAGTATATGATATACTGTACAAATTTTTTTTTACGGTATTGAATCTTTTTTAAAATTGTAGTATAGATCAATGATCCATGGTATTAAAAATAAATTAAAATTTTAATCCTATTTATGGATGGGCAAATCAAGTTTACTACATATCGATGCTAAGTAGTCTAGTGTATATATATATTGTTCCTATCCTACATGCATAGAGGTCCTATCCTACATTTATAGCTCCTATTCTATATATCTAGAATTTCTATTCTACATGTGTAGAGCTCCTAGACATAACTGTTTATCAATTTACCATACCAGGTCTAGGGATGTCATTTGGTCTAAAAGATTGCGACCAAACATGAACTGGTTCAAGAATAAATCGGTTAAATTTAGTCTTGTCTTAGTTCAAATTATAGTTCTAAAATGGTCATAAAAACCATACGTTATAGACCAGTTTAAGACCAGCCTAAAAAATAAATAAATTTTAAGATATAAACTATGATCTCAAGATCAGTTTAAGACCAGTTAAAATAACTATGGTTCTAAGATCAGTTTGAGACTATTCATTTTTATTAGTTTAAGTTATAATAAAAGACCAATTTAAAATTAGTCTTTTATATATAAACTATAATCTCAAGATCAGTTTAAAACCAGTCAAATAAACTATATTTCTAAGATTAGTTTAGACCAGTTATTTTAATTATTTTTAATAAATAATTAAGAAAATTTTTATTTGGTACAAGAAGTATTTTGGCGTACCTAATAGCAAATAAGTACAAATAATAATTAGAAATTAGAGTTTAGATTAAAAATTTTATTAAGAATATTTTTTATTAATTAACCCACTTCAATTTTTTTTTGTCGGATCTTTTCCTTTTACTCGTTATCCGCGACATTTCCTTTTGACTAAAACAGAAAAGATTTTTATCGAAAAATTTTATCTTATGTTGTACTAGTATATGTACTTGCGTGCATAGTTCAATTTGCATAAGGCGCCCGTAATTTTTTTATCGTACTCGGGCTGTATTTATAATTGTTTGCTCGTATCATGTGAGCACCTGTTTAAATTAAGATAAAGTCGATCTGCATGAAATTTAATTTTACCGAATAAGTTGGTTATTTGATTTTTACTTTAAAAATAAATAAGGTACTGCGCAATGTCGTCACACAAAACCGGGAACAGAAAACATGAAGAATATTGGTATTACATTTAGTAAATATATCAATTCTTGCGAGTGTAGTGATGTGTTATATATTGTCACAATCTAAAATAGGATTGTCAATATTTTATTAAAGATAGATCACATAACAAAACAATAATATATAGTAATTAATAGATATATATATATTAGTATAATTAGCAAAATTAGTAGATATAATGAATGTAATGTATTTAGCATATATAATGTAATTAGCATACATAGCATAAGTAGGGTAATTAGTGTATATAGTGTAATTAGTGTAATTAGTGTATTTAGTATATAAAGAAAAATATATTCCTTAATCTGTAAGTTTTTCCAGGCAAATTTGTCTGAAAAATTATTAAAAATATGCTTATGATCTATATTTTTTAAATTTTAAAATATTTAAATAAAATTTTATTTGATAATA